CAGCGCAAAATTATTCCCTCCTCCTCCTCCCCCGTCTCTGCGAGGCCGTCACAGACCCTCTCACCTTTTCTGCTCTCTCGGACATCGATATCGCTCAGGCACGCATCGCGCTATCTTCTGCCTGCCTGCCTGCCTGCCTGCCTGCCTGCCTGCCACCCACCCGCCCTCCCACCTTCTCTGCCTCCCTGCCTTACTTCAAAACTCCCTCCCTTGTTGCCCCCTCATGCCCATTCTCCTTCCTTTCTCTTTCCTCTCCTCTCTCCTTTCTCTTGCTCTTCCTTTATTTCATCCTCCTGCTCCTGCTCCTGCTCCTGCTCCTCCTGCTCCTCTCGAGCCCTATACTTGGTCCTGACTAATCCTGACAGATTGTTGAAACTCTTTCCATCGTCTACTCTTCCAACCCCTCCGACCCTTCTGCAGGTCTCACCGCCCCGCTCCCTCCTCCTGTTGCCTCCTGTGTGCTGCGATCGCTGGAGCGGCTCGAGGAGGAGGCGGCGCTCGATCAGATGAGCCTGCGCCACTTGTGCTGTCTGCTGGAGTCTCTCAGCTTCTTGTTCTCGCGCTCTCCTCCTCCTCCTCCTCCTCCTCCTGAGTTGTGGAGGAAGGGAGAACGATGGGATAGAAGGAGAAATGTCGAGTGTATGGACGGAAACGAGACAGGTCAGGATCTCCAGCGAGAGAAGGAAGATGACAGTTCAAGCTGGAGGAAGGCAGGAAGAGACGAGAAGGAGGGGAGGGAGGGAAGGGAAGGGAGGGAGCGAGGGGGCAACGATGAAACGGAGGAGGAGGAGAAGGAGGGAGGAGCAGAGCTCTCCAGCCTGGTTTCACCCGATTGGCTGAGAAACTTGTGCGACAAGATCTTGAAGAGAGTCATTGAGTACATCAGCATTCCCTCAGATGCTCCTCCCGATCAAGAGCAGGAGGATGAGAAGGATGAAGGAGAGGAGGCGGGAGAACGAGCAGGGAAGGAGGGCGGAAGCGAGACAGACGAGGAGGTACAGCAGGACGGCGAGGGAAGAGTTGAGGATGGCAAGGTAGAGAAGGACGATGGAGAAACCACAGAGGGGACAGACGGCGAGACTAAAGCAGCGAAACCTCGTTCGGTGAAAGGCATTGAACATGTTTGGACTTGTTTACAATCTTTCTCTGTGTTGGGATATAAGGTGACTTGTCCTGCTGCTCCTGCTCCTGCTCCTGCTCCTGCTCCTGCTCCTGCTCCTGCTCCTGCATCCGCTCCCGCTCCCGCTCTTGCTCTTGCATCATTTGCTCCTGCTCTTCGACTTCTTTCCTTCACTTCATCTCCTCACAACATCACTATCTGACCACCACGTTCGCAAAATTTACATCCTTTACTCTTTCTTACTTGCCATCGTTGTCATCCTCACCTATCCTTGTCTTCTTATCTATCATCCTATGCCCCTGGCTGGTCTCTTTTGACATCCTTGCGTTCGGACTCCTCCTCCCCTCTCCCCTTCCCCCCCCCCCGCCCTTTCCTTTTCCATGGCTCTCTTTCTTCTCTTCTCTTCTCTTCTCATCTCTTCTCTTCTCTTCTCTTTCCTGACTCGCTGACACATCTTTCGGCAGATGGAGCAGGAGCATCTTTCGGCTATCATCCTGGCCCTCGCTCGTCCTCCTGTGCTCGCTCGTCTTCTCTTCAAGCACATTGCCATCGTCTTCTGGTCTGTCGCTGCTCAGGCAGTTGCGCATGGCGAGGCTCTTCCGATCTTCTTGCGCATGCACGACCAGCACATCATCCAAGCTTGCAACCTGACACGGAGCAAGGTGACTCCCTGCTGCTGCTGGTGGTGGTGGTTGTGGTGGTGGTGGTTGTGGTTGTGGTGGTGGTGGTGGTGTTGGTGCTGCTGCTGCTGCTGACTCCTCCTGCTCCTGCTCTTCCCGTACCTCCTCCTCATTCTCTTCCTCTACCTCCTGCTCCTCCTGCTCCTACTACTCCTCTTCCTCCTCCTCATTCTAGTTTCTTTCTCGTCCTTTCTACTTTGATCTGCTCCCCCTGCTCTTCGTGTTTCCCTCATCTTCACGTGGGCAGGAGTGATCTAACATATTTATCCCGAAGGTTCCCTTCTCCTCCTCCTCCTCCTCCTCCTCCTCCTCCTCCTCCTCCTCCTCCTCCTCCATCATCGTCCCGTACTGCTGCTCTCACTGCGACCTCCCCGTTACCAGGGATCGCATCCCATGGCTACTCAACATGCCCGTCAGACTCGCACTTGATCGCATGCTCGAGGTAGCAACCGACCGACTTGACCGCATGTTCCACCCGGACCTCCAGGCCCTCCGGCAGGAAGCCGGCCCGGAGGTCTTCGTCGACGTCACTTCTCGCTTCATCTGCGGCATGGCAGTGATCAAGTTCCCAGCTGACAAGGCGAGGAACGTCCTGCGGCTCCTCCCCGTGGAGGCCAAGGCAGTGAAGCTGCTGATGCAGCGAATCATGCCGACAGGAGAGTGAACAAGGGGAGGAGACGGCCGGGCGGAGTGGAGCGAGGGAGGAGGGAGGGAGGGAGGAGTGGTAGTGAGAAACGTTAAGAGGAAGGGGGCCAAGGAGGCGAGGATATATGGTGGAGGGATGGCAGCGGTGGAGGAGTAAAGAGAAGGAAACGAGCAGACAGACTTTATGATTCATGATGATCACAAGCACGATGATGATCTTTTGACAACTATCAAGTCCCTGCCACCGGCGTCGTCAAGTCGAGCTGTTGACGACGAAGGTATCTGGGGTGATGTTGAAAAGAACTGACGCTCTCTCTGCCGCTCGATGCATCGTTTCTTTCTCCTCCGATAGAAGTTTCGCTGCCTCTTTCAGCACATCGAGAGCAAGAGCACATCTGAAACTAAAGTCATACCCACTTCCACTCTCCTTCTCCTCTTCCCCTTCTCCTCGTCTTCTCCCTCCTCCCTGCACCTCTTTCCCCGTACCTCTCCTTCTTGTCCTTTCCCTCCCCCGTTAGTTGGCAGTAGTCTTCATCTAGCAGATCCTCCTTCTTCACTCTCTCCTGGTTCCTGGGCAGGGGGTGACTGGAGTACGAGCAGCACACGCTTCCTACTGCAGCAGGTCGTCGCAGGAGGGATCGCGAATACGGTTGAGGCACAAGGACTCTCCCGAAGCCTGGAGGCATCCGAACATGAGGAGACAAGGAAGGAAAGCCAAGCGAGGAAGAGAAGAAGGGGAGGAGAAGTAGAAGGGCCTGCATCAAAGATAGGGAAGCAGAGAGGGGGGGACGAGGGGAGCGAGGAGGGGGGCTGACGCTACCTTGCATTGCCAGAGAAGAGCTTCCTGCCCTTGCAAGATCCTCCCTAAGTCGCTAGCCAGCACTCGTAGAGCGTTGGGATCAGAGTCCTGGCGACGGAGGGGGTCACAGGGATGAAGAGGAGGCGAGGGAACGCGGCGGATGAGGAGAGGGAACGTGGTGGAGGAGGAAGGGAACCTGTAACAGCTCCTCCATGTTCAGTCCTGGTACATCACCGTCATCGCAGATCTCCTTGGAGATCTGTCTCATCGCCTGCATGCCACTGTCAGATGGTGTCCCAACAGCGGCTGCAGGAGGAGAAACGAGAGCAGGGAGAAGTGAGGCGGAGAAATGAAAGATTTAGGGCGAAAAGAGCAAGAAAACCGACCTGACGTGCCTTCCGTGCATGGAATTTGTTCTCCTTGTAGGCTTGCTTTGCTTTCACCTGACAAAATTCCTCAGACATTGACACATCCATCGGCTCCTAGAAACCTTCTCTTCTCTTTCAGCCAACTGCTCCTTCTCCTCCTTCTCCTTCTCCGTGTCCTGGTTGTTGACCGGCTGCTCCTGCCCCGACACGTCACACAGCAAGGAGGTGAGATCCGGTACCTTGAGCTTCATCGCTTGTCGCATCGCCTTCTTCCGCTCCTTCTCCAACCTGCGCCATCTTGAGATGCCTGTCTCCGCCAAGTTTCGCAGCACTTCTTCATCCTCTCTCTTTCCGCGATCCGAGGGTCATGCGCCTTTGCCATCCGGACAAGACTCTGTATGCGATTGGCCTCCTCTATCCTCTTCATCTTGATCTCCTGGAAGAAGATTTCATCTCATTGACGTACCATCATCACTCTTTCCCACCTTGTCGTGATCCTTGATCATCGCTCTTCGCTCCCACCTATTCTGTGCACTTTCGAGCTTCTCATCAGCCTGGAAGGTGAAATCTCGCCATGTCTGTCGACCGCATCATCTCCAACACATACGAGTCGCACTGCAAACCTGGAAGTTCTCCCAGAAGTTGTAGAACTTTTCAACCTGCCAACATCGTGATTTCCATATACAAACATGCGGCACATGGGCCAGACATCCCTCGCGCTGTATTTATCAGAGCATCAACACATCTCATGATTCTCGCCCCCTCTTACTCTCACATCACACAGCTGTCAAGAATCACCTCTGCCCATGTTGTGTTCTCGTCTCCAAGGCCTGGCACGTGTGGGTTGGTGGACCATCTAGCGTTCACCTCAAAGTAGTGGGACATAACAGGGAAGAACCCTCCCTGCATGCAAGAAGAGGACAAGTCAAGGTAACAACAACATGAATCCCCATATGAGCAATCGGCAGAGAGTGATAGAACCTCGTTGATCTCCTCTTCTGTCGGCAAATGATCCGTGCACGTGTCAACGGCATCATAGCCCATGCGCTGACCAGATATCAGTGAAAGTCACGGGCACGAGAGGGGTTGACCTTGCTCTTGTCGCTGAGAATCTGGTACGCTCTATTGATGCGCTTGTACGCCTCATCTGCAGCCTCCACACTGCCGAGTCCATGCCTGACAACTTTATCCGGATGGCACAGCAGCGACGTTCGATGGTAGGCCTTTTTTAGTTCATCTTCTCCTGCTTGCCACCTTCTCTCTCCAAGACCAAGGAGCGAGTAGAGATCGTCCTCTCCCGCCAATGCACGCTTCACAGCATCAATCCCATGCAGCCTTCGTTCCCTCCGCTTCGCGTCAGCGTCCTTGGACTCCCCGTCCCCTCCGTCCCCTTCGTCATCTTTCTCGCTGTCGAGTTCCGCTCCCAGATGTCTCATCCTCCTCTCCTCGTAAGACCTTCCAGCATGTTCATAGCTCTCTCTCCTGATGGGGGCTGCTATAGATCCTACGACCTCATTCTGCAAACCCCTCGAGACGGGGAGGGTAACAACACGAAAGGGACTTGTTCCACTTGCATCGTCATGCGACTGTCTCAACCCTCTTGGCACAACACCAGCATGGGCGAGGCATCCTGCTCGTCCAGCTCCTCGCAGCCCTCCTCTTTCTTCTCCCGCCCATGCCGTCAGCATCAGCGCCAACCACGTCGTTACCCGCCATGCCCATGCGACCATTGCCTATCCTGCCCCGTTCTACCCCACCTTCCCTTCGGCCACAGGCAGTAGACACCCCTACCCTAATTATACTATCACCAAACCGGGTGGAAGTCCCTTTTTTTGACTACCCTACCCCCACTGGAAAGACGGCACCCCTGCACAAAAACCTCGCGACAGTCATAGAAAAGCAGAAGCTGTTCCGGCAATGCCAAGCACAGAGCATAGCATAGAGTGCGGGAGTGGGTGTTTGGTAGACTTGTACCATGCCAACGTCTTGCAGACATCATATCGCCTTAGCTGCAACAAGACAGTCTTTGCTCAAGACCGAGTTTAACACACACGAAACAAGGATCCAGGAGCACATGAGAGGTAGACTGAATGCTAGGATGTGAAACCCAAGTCGTCACACCCCGAAGCTTGACGGTTTGGTTAACTGATCTCGAGCGAGACTTTCGTTGGCATGGATATGTTCCACTGTCGTCCGTACGATGGGAGCCACCTGAGAGAGGTTCAGATCAGGGGTAGATCCAGGGTTCAGCCCGTATTCGACTTGAAAGGCAGACAACCCTGTCTCTTTGCGACGTGCATGGTTGAGGGAGAATTCAATGATGGGCAGGCTGATGTCCTAGTCCTCGCGCCGCGGTCCTCGGAAGCTTGCGTGCGTAAAATGTCGTAATCAGCACGTTGGGCTCGGTGATCGTGGCCGGCATCGTACGGATAGCAGAGGAATGCTGAATCATTTGTGCCGGATCCACTTCACAATTCGTAAGAATGCGAATCCACTATGATGATGAAAGATTTTAAGATCTTGCATAATCTTGTATCTAAAACGACGGCGGAATAAAGTTTGAGGCGAAAACAGGTTTGAACCAAAGTCAGGTGCACACAGTACCTGAGTAGTACACTTGAAGAATTGTGTTTGTCCTGTAAGAGTATAAATGTACGCTCCCAGGTTGCCTCTAGCATGAACCTTCGTGAGTCCTCCAATCCCAGCGACGACAGCCTGAGGTGACGCCAGGGCAGAGTTGTGAAGGAGCGAGGGATCGTTTATTATGTGGACCTGTGATCCTGTATCCAGTAAGAAGGAAACATTTAGCTTAGATCGGATTCTGCACAAAACGCTTTAACAGCAGTCTGATACGTGCACATATTGATGGAACATGTGGAACACATAGGATCAGAGTCCAAAGAGGCAGGCAGCGCATGTCCATAGATTTTCGGATTCCAACGACCAGGGTTTGGGGGGACGGAAACAGCAGCGTTCTAGTTGAGCGGTGGTTGAAGAAATGTTCCGATGGTGATATAGTCCCTTGATCTGAAGGAAAAGGTAGCGCCACACCGCTAATGGGTAGACTGAAGCACACATTCGAATGAGACGTCGCTGGGGGCGGGGGTAAAGGTTCAAGGTGGCCAGTAACCGTACCTGGTCCATTAAGAGCAGGTCTGGTGGGGCACGGTGGAAGTGCAGCGGCTGGACTAGGAGCCTGAGGAGACCGTGGAACTAGCTGTCGCCTGCGATTCATGCTGGACTGCACACAGACTGTCGACAAACTCAAGTGTCTTGACATGTTCGACCTTGCCGTAAGCTTTCAAATATCCATGGTACGAAGGATGCAAACATGCGGGCTTGAGTATTGTTGTTATAGTCTAAGCTTTCAAATATCCAAGGCACGGAGAATATAGACGTGCGTTTAGATTTGTTGATTTTCCAACAAAGTGCAACTGACCGAATAAAGCTGTCCTGAATGTAAGCAGCAACCATGGTTTCAACCACCTTGCTCGACCCATTGTCGTAATTCAACAGATAATGCCATGAAACAGTTTATTTACAGAACATGTTATGTCCACTAAAGAATATGAATTGAGTATACACTATTCAAAGCAAATCTCGCCACTTCTCGCTCTTGTCAGTCTTGCCCGCCCATGGTCCGCACTCTCCAAAGTGGGACTTCTTGTTTCCAACGAACGACTGTAGGTTCTTCTCGAACTCAATTGAGAACTCAAGATCGCAGGCAGAGGCACTGTTGTCGTTGAATGGCTGGTGCATCCCAAATGTATACTCCGAGTCGTTGTTTGACCACGAGCTGCAGGACTGCTCCACGCTCTCTGGACTGCATTTGTCGTGCTGAAGGGTTGACGTTGTTTGAAAACTTCTCGTTTCAATTTCTGTGGATTCGGGCATTGCGTTCAGTTTTGCTTGATACGATGTTGGTTGACTCCAGGTCCTAGGGGCTGATGAGAAGAAGGGCGTTGCTTACAAAAAATGAAGGACTTGCGATGAATGCAACAAACTTGGATTGTTCTTTCCTTTCAAGAAGCTTTGTGAACAGATGCAGGTAAGGTATGAGATGTGTGTAGGAATGAAAGGTGAAACACAAGGTGTAGGCAGAGGCAAATTGTTGTGTTCCGGCAGACTGTACAATGATGTAGACGGGTGAGGAGCAGTTTTACGTGCATACAGGCACGGAGTCAGCTGCTGACGATGATGACAGTCAGTCTGTTCGTGATGACTAACGATGTTGTAATGACTCTCCGAAAAGAGAGGTTTCCGATATTTATGCGCCGTGTGCGTGTAAAGCCCTCAGGTTTCAAATCCCTTTTAATTTTATAAAACGTTTATAAAGCAAATTACAATGACAATATAGATGTATAATCAGTATCCAAAGATCGCATCCTTTGGACTTTTAGACGCTTCATCGACAAGAGATGACCCCTACCTGGTATTCTGCGACCACCCTTGTTAGCACATATCTATCTGTATCTGGGAGACCACTATCCTAGGAATCACCCACCCTACCCATCCATCTGTCCCTGGTTTGTACCTATAGCCAAGCCATGATGGTCCCACCGGGATACCGACTGCAGTTCTGGAAGGGCGTGGGTCAGGGTGGAGGAGGGGTGCAGGGGATTGCGGTGACAGGGTGAAATGTTAGGTTGATACTTCCATTGCTTCCAAGCTGATCGATTTCTGCATTGAGAGCTTATTGTACAATCGCCTACCTTCGAAACAAGAGTTGCAGGTCGGAGTCTGAAAACAGCCCGAAGGAATGAGGGGGTAGGGTAGCCAATCGTTGGTATGGATGTGTCGAGCGCGGGCCATCCCTCATTGCGACCCTGTAGCTGCATCAGGGGCGATGTCAGCAGCTGACGACCGCCGTCCGAGGCCGGCCGAATGATCACGTCTGAACTACCCCAATCACCCTATTATTTCATAACAAAAAGTACGGGTGCTTCGAGACAGGAAGATGCCAGCAATCACGAGGCGCGTCCTCTTTGATGCTCATGGGCCACCAACAGCTAAAACATTAAATATAAACCTATATAGTTTTAGATTATAACTATATTAGAGATGCGTCGTCGTAAAGAAGTTGGGTACGAGGGGTTAAAAAAAACAAGCGAGGAACACCTGGAAGGCAATACGGGGTCAGAAGGCCACTGGTACAAATCTCTTTACTCATCGCTCCAAATATATTACTCATCTCCTCTCCTCGCGCCCCCCTCAGGCATCTCATCTCGGATCGAGCCGATGTCAGCTCCCGAGCGTTCGCTCAACTTACCTCTAGTACTCCAGTACCACCCTGTAAGGTATTCATTCAGTACCCCTAGCCTGCGGGCCAACCCCCCCCCCCCCCCTTTCTGATTTTACTACTGAATTTTACTACCGAACTGCTAACTAACTTTTTGAGTAAAAGTTTGCCCGCACGTCCGACGGGGCTCCGAGCCGTGGCATCGTTTACTCAAAGTTAAGTTAAAATCAGTGGGAGGAAAAACTGACAGTAGTGAGTGCCCGAACCGGTCCGGCTGGCCGGGCTAGTACGCCGGGCCGGGCCCCGCCGTAGCGCACGGCGCGGCCGTCACTCAGGCGGCCCGGGTCCTGAGCCCCGGAGTCCGACGAACCGGGTGCCCGATCCAGGCTCAGAGCCCGGTGCGCCGCCGGGCGGCCCGGCGGCCTCCGGCGGCCTCCGGCGCGTGACAGTACAGTTCACGTACTACGGTACTACTGGCGGCCGGTTACCATACGGCCCCCCGGTCACTCAGTGGATTAACTTAACTTTGAGTAAAGGGAGTCACCGTACTCAGACCGTCGTCCTCGAATGAGATAAAAGTAGGCCTGTAGGACCTGCCGTTGATTGATCCCGGCGGCACCGGCCCCAGCCTGCGGTGGCGGGGGCGGCTGCCAGGACTCGGGAAACATGAACTTGAAGCAAGGTGCAGTGAAGAGCAGGAACTTGAGCAGCTTGTGCCACTCGGGGGCAGGGCATGATTTAGGGAACTTAGTAGGATGAGATCTAAAGCCCCCGATAGTCAGCAGGCTCACAACAACCTGAAAGAATTCTTGAGTCATGCCTGAGGGTTCAAAAAGCATAGTGTCTACCAAGCCCCGGTGATTGAGCCGAGGAGCAGGCAGATATGGAAGGAGAATTCATTGAGAAAGTTAGAGCTCTCAGATCCGAGTGACTGAAACTGACTGACCTGACGACACTGTGCAGATGACAAGAGATCCTGATGCTCGATGATGGAGAGGAGAGAGGAGCGGTAAGTGTGAGGTAGCAGCATGTCTTGGTCGACAGGGTTGTTCTCTTGCTGGGACGACTTCGAAACCAGTATGTCTGACCTGATACTTGACTGCTGCTGTTCTCACATTGACCTTGATCAGTGATGAACGGGACTGTTCTGTGCGGCGCAACCGTGTGCTTGATGTCGGTAAACAACAGTGTTGACATGAACGGAGGAAGACCGAGCTGTAACATCCCGACGAGGAGGTTGTGGAGGGTCTCGAGGGACTGCGGATGCTCGGGTGAGCTATGGGAGGGAGGCAGGAAGAGGATGAGCTATAGGTGGAAGGGAGGCTGGACGGTGAAGCTGAGAGGTTGGCAGAGAGGGATACAGCCATGCTCATCAACAGCCTGCTCTGCGCCATGTTCCCTTGCATGGGCATGTACTGGAGGAAGCAGATCCGAGACGCGTTCAGCATCCAGGGCAGTATGTCAGGAGACTGCTTCGCTTGCGCCTGCTGCTTCCCGTGCGCGGTGAGTTTGCTCGACATAGTTTACTCGCACTGAGGAGCCGAAAGGCCATGCAGGAAGCGAGGGAGATCAAGAAGCGAGGAGGAAGCGTCAATGCCCCCGTGCAGATTCAGATGAGCTAGAGATCACGCGCTCGACTCGACATGCTCCCAGGCCCTGCAGCAGCAGCATGTCAGGTCGGCCCCAACAAGTCTCCTCGTGCTCACAGTCGATGGAGGTGACTGTCTAGCTCCAGCTGGATGTCTCGCCATGCGCCTCGAAGAGCGTCGAGCTTTGTCCTCCTCATCTGCGGGAGAAGTCACGCGACACGAGAGGAGGAGGAGGGGGAGATCAGGGACACGTCAGACACGCAGGACAGAGAGATAGCAACGTAGGAGCGAAGAAGGACAGGCTGATGTCAGAATCACCTTGTCTGCCTGGATGAATGCTTCTCGTTTACGATGAGTAACCTGAGAGTTTTGAGAATCAAGAAAGTCATCTCCTTTCGGCTCGATCTGCTCCTCACCTCCGTCACATGCTTGTTGATCTTGTCTTTGAACATTCTGAACTCGCTGGCAGCAAACCTGTAGATTCTCGTCACCATCGTCCTCCCTCTCTGCCGTCTCCTTGCCTCATGATGTCTTCTTGGCTCGCCAGGATGCTTGCCTGCTGGTATCGCATCTGCGCCTCGAAGTCTGCCTTGGCGATGCGCCGAACCTGACGAGGCCGAGTAAGTGCATAAAGGCGGAGAACGAGGAGAGTCAAGGCGAGGGAAAATGTGATGGAGAGGGAAACAAGGACAACAAAAAGAAAATGGGAGCAGGGAGCAGGGAGCAGGGAGCAGGGAGCAGGGAGCAGGGAGCAGGGAGCTAGAAGAGCGTTCTGGTCAGAAACCTCATCAGCCGTCTTCATTCTTGCCATCACGTGCCGTCTCGTGTGTATGAACTCCCTGCAGCGAAGGCTCAACCCCAAACCTCTTCGCATCCTCTCTAGCAATCAACACCTGTGAACAACGTCCATCCACCTGCTCCTCATCGTATCCCTCATCTCCACCATCATCGTCTTGATTTGCTGCTGGGACCTGAGACGGGGACAGCAAGTACTCAGGGACGTTGGGATATGTCAAGCTTTCAATCACTGTTTCTCTCTTTGCGCGACGTTGAAACTCTTGCTGCAAGCTACACGCAACATGTCAGCATTCCTTGGAGACTTCAAGTTATCTTCACCTTTCCTCATCACATCCGCTGGAGTTTGACCCATGACAACCTGCTGACCCACTTTACACCTTGTCAAAACTTGTCGCTCCCTCACTGACCTCAGCTTCCAAGTTGTTCTCGCCCGCTTCATATCGCTGGTTTTCATATCGTCGAAATGAGCTTGTATTCTGGTTTTGCTTTCTTCTGAAACGTCTCCGCCATCAGCAAAAGCAAACTGGAAGTGTAGCAGACCTTGATAAGACGTCCTTGGCCCTGGAGTACTCCATATCGTGACCCTCCCCCTCCGCTTCCCTCAGGCCCTTCCCATCCCTCCTCTCGGAGAAGGAGATGAATTCTCCATTCTTAGTGATGAATCCACAAAGAGATCCCTGGAGGGAGATTGGGCTCGCTTCCTTGAGCTCCAGCCCTGGTGTAGACTCGACCTCTACCATGGCATGGTAGACATCGTTCTGCAAGGATCTGAGGACCCTTGCACTCCTGCGAGTGCTGTCATGCTCCTGCTCGCCCATGCTCTCAGAGTTGCTTACCCGTCCGACGATCGTCGCTCCATCGCTCTCTTCGCAGTGTTTCTTCCCGGCCCATTCAGCATCCTGTCACAACTTCAATCACAAGATCACAAGGTGTTATGTTGTAGACATGACAAGAAAGTGATCCATGGCTCTTGCACTATCAGGCACAACAACCACGTTGATGTCCATACCGCTTGTTGAGTTGCTCCTCAGTCCAGGTGCTCTTCAGGCTTGCAAACTTATCGGCGCGGTTCCAATCTTCAATCCCTCCGAGCAGGGGCACGGGCTTGTTCCTTCCCTTCGCCGCTTCTCTCTTGTCCCGCCTCCCTGCTCTCATCTTGCTCTTGTGCCCTGACCTGTTCCTCCTCACCTGACCTAGGTTCAAGCGCGTATCTGCTCGCATCTCCTCTCCCCGCATGCTCTCTGGCTCTGCAGCAAGGACGATGTCCGAAAGCGTCATGACGATGTCGATGAGGTTGCCTGAAGTACGTCAGCCTCTGCTCGCTCTGGGGTCTATCTGCTTACTCAGTGCCGTGATTCTCCCCATGCAGATGTGGTCGGCAGAGATGTGGTCCAGACTCGCTCCTATCACCTGCGGGCCACGTCAGACTTAACACGCAACGTACCTGAGCTTGCCTCTCCCAGAAAGAAGAGCAGGGCCCGCGTGTTGTGCCTGTCGTCGTCCTCCGTCACGGGGTTGCGGTTGAGCCCGGGGACCTCAAGATGGAGCATGGCCTCAACGACGGCGATGAACATGTTGGGAGTGCATTGATCTAGCGAGCTGATTCGCTCGGGTATCCCCACCCTACCAGTCATCAGACAATGTTTGTGGGGACAAGAGGACAGGTGGGCCATCGCACCTGGGAAGTAATGCGGTGTTGATAGACTTGACGTACTGCTCGATCACACGATCGTGCAGGTGTCCTGCAGACAAGTCATTCCAACAACTTGATGCTTGACAAGCCTACCAAGTTGCTCTTCTGCTGCTACAAGATTCTTGGCCCAAGATTCCGAGGTCTTGAAATCCGAATGGAACGAGCGTGTTTGATCTGAGTCCTCATACAACATGCCGAGGACTGTTTGCTTCAATCTTTGATCAGCCTGCAAAGAAAGATTGAGTTAGTCCAATCTGTACTTCACTTTGTTGATTTGCATGGAATAAGCTTATCAGGGCGGAAAACAATCATCCGTTTCCTACTTCCTGCATACAACATTCCCTCATCATCTTCTTCTTCTTCCTCTCCTGCATGGTTCCTTGTCGCAACCCAACCACCTCCTCCCACTCCCCTCTCCTCCCTCGTTCCTCCTCGATCTCCTTTCATGGGATCCATTGTATTGGTTGTGCTCGAGAAGGGGTACTATACGGTCGGAGAGTAGGGTGGGGTGGGGACAGTTACTCTTTGTGGTCAAACATTTTACTCAAAATGATAACAAGCCCGCCTCATTATATCAGCGAGGCGGACTTGATATATGTTCGTGAATGAGGGGACGAGGGGCAATCGTATTAACGGCCGTCGGGGAGCGAAATGGGGAGCAGGAGAGAGGGAGAGGAGGAGAAGGTGAACGGATGCTGAGAGAGGAGAAGGAGGACGTTGAGGACTCAGATATGCTGAATGGTTCGAAAAGTTCCTTGCAGCCTGATGGCTCCATGAGTGTTGTCCATGCTGGCGGCGGCGTTTGAGGAGAGGAGAGCAGTCGTGCAAGTGGATAGTTTTCAAGGATAACTATCCTCCACTTTCCTGCAAGAAGCCATCCCAATGCTCGCCCAATCTCCTGGAGGAGGACGTAAAGGAGGATCCTCCCACTTGGAGTCCATGCACAAGCCTGTTGAGAAGGGGGGGAGCGTGCGGCAGGTGCTGGAGCATCGGGAAGAAGCTAAGCCTGTGATGAAGCATGGGGCTGACAAGAAGAGGCATGCTCAAGCGGATCACAAGCAGCAGCATCCAGTATGGCGCCCAGGAGGGTATGCTCTCGTTGGCGATATGTACAAGGACAACGGAAGGAAGGTACGATGGTCAGTCCTTGCTTCCTATGACCTGACCATATTCGCCTCAAGGTTGCTCGGGGCCCTTACTTTGGAGTCCCCCGGGACTACTGGAGGAGGGAGGAAGAGAACCTCTTGCCTTCTGCTGGGCCAGGCGCTCAAGCCTCCTCCCCGTTGATCCATCACAGGAGCGCAGTGAAGCCGCAGCAGGGAATCTACGGTTTGCACTCAGACAAGCAGCAGGTCTGGAAAGTGGAACAGAAGCGAGGAGGAAGAGGGGGCGAGGAACAGGAGCGAGGAGGAGAAAGGAATGGGAGAAGGAACGGAGGGGGGGGGAAGTGAGATTGAATGATTGTACAGGTGTGGGAGAGTGTCATACCAGCTAGAGCTGGACCATGGTCAGTGTTCAAGCAGAGGTATCATCTGCAGAACGGACCCAGCCGTCCCCTTCCTAAGGTTGTGATGGAATGCAAGGAAGAGATGATGAAAATATTGAGTGGCAAAATTAAGAAATGATGATGGCAGCTACATGATTATGATAGTGAAGCCGCTGCTGCTGCCTATGATGATGATGGTGATGATGATGATGATGCATTGGATGAGAATGACGACATGAAGGAGAACAACGATGGTGACGACGGTGATGATGATGGTGATGATTTTTCTCAGGGGGTTGTCAAGGTTGGACCTGATTGTGTCGGTCCCATCGTCGAGTTCCGTGAGAGGAGGGCAGACATGCGAGATCATGCGAGAGGGCACGAGAGGATCGATGTGGACAGGGTGCAAGTGTATCCCCCATGGCCGATAGCCCAGGCCATGTGAGTCACCAGTGATAGCAACGATGTTGCGCTGTTGATCGTTATGGCAGAGAACAAGCATGGCAGGGACAAGAGAAGTTTGCGAAGAGGGGCGTGTATTTCGAGGATGACCTCAAGTTTGAGGACCAATCAAGGTCAGGGATGAAATCGGCGCAGCAGATTTGAAACTCATCGCAAAATAGACCTCAGCAGGCGCCCTTGAATGCGAGGAGGAGAAAGATCATAGCGGATCTGTTCAGCAGGATTGGGCCAGGATCCGACGGCAAGCTAGAAGTCCAGGTGATGCCGTCGGCCGAAAGTTCAGCCACATTCTCATCGCTATGGTCTCAGGAACTTTTCAAGGCGATGAAGGTCGATAAATTCAGGAAGTTGTTTGACTACACGTCAAGGTCGGCTCCTCGTACTCCACCACAACCATTCTCTCCTCCTCCTCCTCCTCCTCCTCCTCCTCCTCCTCCTCCTCCTCCTCGTCTTGACTTTCAGCTCTTGCAGGCAGGGAACGAAGGTTGTGAGAGATGACGAACAGGAGCATCTTGTTGGTTTGTTTGTGTCGCTCCTCAAGCATGAGGTACTCTTCCTCCTCCTCCTCCTCCTCCTCCTCCTCCTCCTCCTCCTCCTCCTTCCTCCACCTCCACCTGCTTCTCCTCTTCCTCAATGTCTGCAGGCTAGAGACTTTCGGAACAACATGGCATTTCTTCCATCGAGCAAGGTCAGAAAGATTACTGCACATTGCCAAGCATGTTATCCTCCCCCTCCTCCTACTACTACTACTACTACCACTACTACTACTACTTGTCTTTTACCTCTTCCTCGTCATCTCCATCATCATCATCTCCATCATTATCAACAACAATATGATCATCACTACATCAATCGCAATAGTTTTTTTCAAGTCGTATTGTCTTCTGCCCCACCATCACTCCCTCGCGCTCCATTTCTCTACTGCTCGTCATTTTCGCATCAGGGAGGCGTCGGGTGGAGAAATTTGGCTCAGGCCGACGCCAAGATCACCAGCCAAGAGTTTGAACAGGTACGTCTGACCCCAGCTGAGAGCCCAGCAGGCTTTGACATTTCTCAGGTGATGGTAGCATTGGGCTGCCACATCTATGAAGATGAAGAGTTCAGGACGCTCACTCGCACACTCTTTGAGGAATGACGGAGCGGCAAGAGGTCGGAGGTAGGCCAGAGGGGGATGTGCTGGGAAAGGAGAGCAGGAGGCAGGAAGGGGGAGAAGGAGAAGGAAGAGGAAGGGAGGGCACTGAAGCTAGGCGTGTTAGACATCCGTTGACTGATTTTCTTTCTCAGCTCATCCAGGAAGGGCTCGATCACTCGCGCATGCTGGAGACTAGCAGGCAGGCGTTGACGCCGCCGAAGCCGAACGAGTTTGACAGGGCGACCTCTAGTCCTGTGACATGTCAGCAAGTCAGCTGGAGTAGGAGCTGGGTCCACCTGGGGCGTCTTGCACCGTCTGCTGGGCGATTCTCAGCTCGATCGGGATGTCAGTTGATCGCTGGTCGAGGTTGGCGGTTGGTGGGATCTTTTGGTGGTAGACAGCAAGAACTGAAGTTATCTTAGCACCACCTGCGCTACCAACTCCTCCTCCTCCTCCTCCTCCTCCTCCTCCTCCTCCTCCTCCTCCTCCTCCTCCTCCTCCTCCTCCTCCTCCTCCTCCTCCTCCTCCTTCTCTTCCTAATCTTCCCCACAATCAGCATAAATGGCCATCATGATCTCCCTCTCCCCCTCCCCTTCCCCCTCTCTCTTCCTCTACCTCTCAACCACTCCCACTCTCTTCCTCTGCCTCTTCCTCTTCCTCTTCCTCTTCCTGTTCCACCTGTCGCTGCTGCCTCCACTGCCCCAGCAGCGCCAAGCAGATGTCCGAGAGCTCCTTTGACGGACGTGAGCTGAAGGAAACTTCAGAATCATCCTCTGAACCCCAGCTGGACGCAAACTTACGACGAGGTCGTTGCAACCCGCAAACGTCTTTGCGATTGCTCGAGCCTGAGGGGCAGCAGGTTGAGGATGAGGAAAGAGAGACAGGGGGGAGGAGGAAGTGGAGATGGTGGGAGAAGGGGAAGAGGAGGGAGAGTGAGACAGAAAGACAGAGGGAGGGAGAGAGGGAGCAGGAGAGATGTGGAGAATGGGGAAGGAGAAGAGATAAGGATGAAAGAAAAGACATCAGAGAAGGGGAAGGAAAAGAGACAGAGAGCACAAAGGGAAGAGAAAGAAATGAAGGAGGTTGAGGAAGGAGGAGGAGAGAATAAGAGGAATGGCGGGAGAGAGCAGATAAGGCGACAAAGGAGTTCAAAACCTCGCAAGCGTCTCCTACGGGGGTGGAGGTGGCATGGCAGTTGATGTGGCCGACCTGTCAGTGGAGATTAAGAGGATGCAGAAGCTGCGCTGTCAGGTGAGGAGAGCAGAGGAGGAGGAAGAGGAGAAGAGAGTAGAGGACAGTTGTAAGGGTCAGGCGAGGAGGAGAGGAGGAAGCAGGAGGCAGGGAGGAAGGAAGAAAGAGAGGAAGAGGAGAAATAGAACGCAGGAGAGGATGAGAAAGAAAAGAGGGGATGGAAAGGGGAGCAGGAGAAGACTTCACCTGTTGAGGGCTAACACCGCCCATGTCCATGGCAGCCTGAAGAGAAGAGGAAGTAACGGGAGGAACAGAATGAAAAGATGAGGGAGATCTGTCATGGGAGGAGGAGATGGAAAGGGAGAGAACTTGACGAGAACACACAAAAGAGGGAGAAGGAGAAAGCAGGAGAGGCGAGCAGGAGAGGCGAGCAGGAGAGGCGAGCAGGAGAGGAGAAGAGGAGAGGAGAAGAGGTTAAGGGCTGTGACAACAAGTCAGGGCAAGAACCTTCATGACCCTGGCAGCTCCTTCGCCATCTGATTGAAATCATTACGAAACCCACGAGACTGTCAAGTTACCTTCGGGAGGAGAAGTGATATGATAGGCGTCGCCTCCAGAGCCCCAACCCCGAATCTTTTGAAAGCTCGGTCATGCTTTCTTCCTCTAGCTTCTTCTCTCTCCTCCTCTCTAACTCATCCTCCTCCTCTATCTCCTCCTCTTCTTTCCTCTCTAACTCATCCTCCTCCTCTATCTTCTCTTCTTCTCCTTGCCATTGCCATATCACTTAAACTTCCCTCACCTCGGCATAAATCCTTGCTCCCCGGCTGTAAAAATTCAAACGAGTCAGCAGGAGGTAATGACAGGAGCAGATGGGAGGACGGAAAACATCCTCTGATGAAGAGCCAGTGAACCAGCCATGGATGCGATGTGCTTAGGAGCAGCAGAGGAGGAGGTAAGAGAAGAAGCACGCGGGGAAGGCGCAGGGAAAGGAAGCAAGAGGAGGAGGAGGAGGGACAGGCACCTTCTCGCCATCTCCAGCTCCTCAAGCACCAGCACGGCACTTCCCTCCCCCATCACAAAACCGCATCTGCTCTCCTCCCTCAGCCTCGTCCGCCAACGTCTCCCTCACCTCCTCGCGTCGAAGGGTCTAGAGGCAGAGCTCCTGCGCCATCGTCATCCCGTTGCTCCCAGCAGGTCTCAACCTCACGGGTCCTCGTTGAACTCGCATGCCAGGGACTTTGCGCGCGAGAAACCGGCGACGGCAAGAGGCTCCATGCAAGATTCCGTTCCTCCTGCACCAACAGCACGCCGTCATGACCGCCAAACCTGCACCACCACTACCTCAACCACATCCACTACCTCCACTACCTCCACTACCTCAACCACATCCACTACCTCCACTACCTTCACTACCTCCAGCTCTTCCCCTCCTCCACCACCACCACCACCACCACCACCTCCTCCTCCTCCTCCTCCTCCTCCTCCTCCTCCTCCTCCACCACCACCACCACCACCTCCTCCTCCTCCTCCTCCTCCTCCTCCTCCTCCTCCTCCTCCTCCTCCTCCTCCGGCTTTATCACCCTTTCCTCTCCCCCCCTTCTATTTCATCCTCCTCCCAGGTTCTGCCAATTCACCCTCCTCAAATTCACTTCGCATTCTATCGCTGCCGCCTTCTCCCTGTTCTCTTTTCTTCACCTTGGGAACGAAGAATGGCGAGAGCTTGCGAGGGCTGGTTGTGACTAACTATGAATATACGTCAAGGGGAAGAACCCAGTCACCAAATCCAACGTCATCTCAATAATCTACAGCACAACACTTTGATCATCACTTTTTTCATCATCATCCTGAGCAGCAGCAGCAGCAGCAGCAGCAGCAGCAACTAGGCATCTACCCTCATACCTTTCCAGCTTCCACGATCTCCCCTAGAGCTCCAATACCGCTGCCAACACACACCGCAATCTTGGGTAACATGCTCTCTCCCCAGATGTCTTTCGGCTGCTCCATCCTATCAGTTGACAACTCCTCCGCTCCATCCCAACCTGCACAAACTGCCTGCTCCCCTCCTTTGCTGCGTCTCGCAGCGCCTCGTCAGCCTGACATGTCTCAGCTGCCGAGCTCGATGACTCGCTGCTGCTCACCGCTAGGATCGCAAGCTGAACGAAAGGAGCGTTGCGAGAGGCAGGATAGTCCGGCAGGGCTGCAGCACCAGCGCATGAGCTCACATACCCTGACCGAGGCATCAAGTGGAGTTGGACCTGAAGGGTTGAGCTCGTGTGGTAGCTCTCCTCGTGGTACCGCAGCAGCAACCTGCAAGACAAGTAAACAGAAGATATCAACTGAATGGATGTCCTCCTCCTCCCCCAGATCTTCGCTCACTCCCTCCCTCCCTCTCGCACTCGCTCGCTCACTCACTCACCTTGCAAGGTAAGTTGGCATACGCTTCCCCTGTGGACATGTCAGGAGCAGCTTGCAGTATGGCTGGTAACCTTCCAGCCTTCTGACTGCGCTCGTTCCTGAAGTGATTCCTTCCCAGCTGCCAGTAAGACTCAGGAGTCCACAACGGGGAGAAGAAGAGAAGAACAAGATGAGAGAATAAGAAGCGAAGGGAAGGGACGACACGACACGACACGACACGAGAGGCAAGGAGAGGAGAGGAGGCGAGGCGAGGCGAGGCGAGACGACACGACACCAGAGGGGAGGAGAGGAGAGGAGAGGGGAGGGGTGGAGACGAGACGAGACGACAGCAGCAGCTGAGGATAAGTGGCAACATGGGGATTGACAAATATTCATAGCATGGCATACTCCAGAGATAGAAAATGCACACTCAATCGTTTCAGTCTGACAACCTGATCTTCGTTCCAACACCGAAGGGAGTTACCATCCCTATCCCAGTCACCACAACCCTCCTTGATGTCCATCAGAGTCACTTGAAGCATGTAGCCTCTCCTAGTTCAACAACCTTCGTTGCCGAAAAGGAGGAGGAGAAGTAATACTGAGAGAGGAACTGGTGTAGCGTTCAGAAGGTCAGTACTCCCATCCTCTCCCTCAGCGCGCTCTTCTTACAAGCTCCTTGTTGCAGTGCATATGACACGGCGACAGTTTGAAGAGATCATGATTGAATCGGGGAAATGGCAACAACCTGTCCTCAAACAAGATTACTTTCATGCGCTCTACCAACTCTATACAAAGCGTCCTCCTCACCCTTCTCTCCTCGTGCCTGCCCTCTGCCCCCCTTCTTCCTCTTGTGCTCAATCAGATCTTCTCCCTCCGCCATTCCTGCTCTTCTCCTCCCCTCCTTCATTTTGCGTCCCCCCTCCACCCCCCTCTTCACTCCCTCCCTTCCCCCTCGTACTGCCAGCATTTCCCTCTTTGTTGCGCCCGCTGGTGACAAGGTACTTGTGGGGTGGGTACTTTTGTATGCGAGGCAGGGGTAGACAACCGGTCAGGATCATGGTTTGATTTATGGGCGCAGTCGGAGATGGCGGGGGAGGGAGAGGAGGAGGAGGAGGATGAGGGAGGGAGGGAAGAGACAAGATGGCAAGAGACCGATCGCTGGCTGTCCAAGCGCATGGCGAGCCTTGAAGAGACGAGAGGAGACGACGACAAGGTGTTGCTGAAGGCAACCAATGGGGTCGGGACAGGTCAGTCGATCGAAAGTGTCGGTCTGACAACATGCTGCATGTCGATAATCTTTGCGTTGAAATTTCTTTGCGTTGAAGTTTTGTTCGTAGAAGCTCCTCCAAGAGCTGGGCGAAGCATGGATTGTTTACGTCATTCAGGCTCAAATCCTCGCCATGTCGTTGACAGGGAGGATCGGTATTGGGGAAAGCGTTGGCGGGGAAGGCTGGATGGGAAGGGAGGAAATAAGAGCAAGGCTGCTCAGAGGAGCCTCTAGCTCCCCAATACCTCGAGAGTGCTTCATGTGCGGATCAGAAAAGGTGAGCCAAGGCTGCCGTGCCAGTCCCGAAGAGCTCACGGTCAACAGCTCCATGCAGGGATGGCGCAGCAGGGGGGGCTGTGGAGAGCGTTCCTGTGTGCGGACTGCTACCCGCACATGGTGATTTCATCATGGCAAGGAGTGTTTCGAGAGCTCGGCGAGGACAATGGGCTAGAAGTCCTCCTGCTCCGAGGCAGATGTCAGCTCGTACGCCTCTGCTAACTCAGTATGGCCAGTAACGCCCCGGCAGTGCTGTACTCGCGGTGGGTTCCGAGCTCAGGGAGGACAGGAAGCCAAGAGGCGCATCTTTTGTGCCGTCCACAAGTCACGGGGTATGATGGGCGGGCGTGAGAGAGGAGGAGGAGGTTTGAGCAAGGAAGCAGATGCTATGGACTACCGCAACCCCCGATGCTCCTCCTCCGGCTGTCAGGTGCCCCCACCAAGCTCCTCGCTCTCCTCCTTGTCAACTGAGACCGTGTGCTCCAGCGCGTGGCTTCCTGGGGCAGGTGGCAGGGGAGGAGGGAACGATGCCGTCTGCACAAGTAGCGCCCATAGCCCGATAGTCGTGCTGCTCTAATGGCTTTCTAGAATTGACAAGGACGTTTACCTTCGCACTTACAACAAGTCGGATCCTCGTTCATGTACCCCCGCCTCCTCCTCCCTCCTTTCCTACCTGCTCACCAGCTGTGCAGATCCGAGGTGTAATGCAGTTGGAGGATGCAACAAGACGGCCTCGTGGGGCGACATCGACGGGGGGGGCCTGCGGACGGACAAGCCCAAGTACTGCAGCCTGCATAAGAGAGAAGGACAGATGTGAGTCTTGACAAGAGCGCGTGTCAAAGTCTCCTCACGCTATCACAGTGACATAAGACACGGACTCTGTCAAAATCCTTCGGGATGTACCACTCAGCCTGTCTTCGGGTGCCCCTCGGAGGTCCTCCTGGCTCTCTCCTCCCTCCTTCCTCGCTTTCCCTCCTCCCTCCTCCCTCCTCCCTCCTCCCTCCCTCCTGTCCTGCCTGCTTTGCTCGCTTGCTATTCCCGCCTCTCTTCTCCTCTCTTCCCTGCTTCACCCTCGCATGCCTCCCTCCATTCATCCATCGTTCTCCATCCAGCTGCCCTGTCTCGTTTCGCATCTTTCTAGCCTTTCCCTCTTCATAGTTGTCTCCACATTCCCTCCCGCCATCACTCTGTCTAGCCTTTCCCTCTTCATAGTTGTCTCCACATTCCCTCCCGCCATCATCTCGAACGCAACCATGTCACGTTTGACCCTCCAGTGCCTGCAGAGAATCCGTCGGTTCTGCAAGAAACACAGGCGAGCAGGCGATGTGAACCTGATGCGTCCGAAATGAGAAAAAGACCTCAAGAGGTTTTCAAAGGTGCAATGTAATTTGAATTCAGAATTTACAGTTAAGGGATGTTAAGTTTCTTGTGTCTGCTGCCCAAGGGATCATGTTTTGTGCTTGTCTTCAGCATGGTCATGAGGGAGAAAGTGATTCCTCATCAGCTCCTCAAACTCATGGTAATCGATCATCCCGTTCTTGTCCAGGTCCGCCAGCTCCATCATCGAGTCGATCTCCTCATCGCTCACCCCGATCTGAAGTTTCTGCAAGGCATGGTGGAGCTCCAAAGAGCTGATGTGCCCCGTACGTGCCTGGTCGAAGTAGTTGAACGTGTCCCTGAGATTCTTCGATAGCGCCTCGCTCCTGGCGCTGGGGGAGGGCCATGGCGGGCCCATCATAATGCAGAACTCGTCAAACTCGACTGAGCCTGTCTTATCGATGTCGAACTTCTTGATCATGTCTTCGACCACCTCGTCCGAGAGGTTCGCTCCCAGGCCCTTGAAGGCGGACTGGATGTCCCGGATGTTGATGTGGCCGGTCTTAGTGTGGTCCAGGGTGTTGAACGCCTCCCGTAGCTCCTCTAGCCACTCTGGATCCGACTTGACCTGGTGCAGGATGTTCTGCTGCAGGGCCCTGTCAGGAGGAGGGGAGGCCAGCGGGCGGACGAGGTGGTTGAGGGCGCTGACGGTGATGAAAGCTCCTTTGAGCTTCCTGGCAACATTCCAGATCTTGAGCTGCTTCTGCGTCTCTGCCAGGGTGACGCTGGAGAGTTGGCCCTTGAGGTACTTGGTAAGCCAAGGATGAGCCAAGCATTCGGTAGGGGTGTATCGCTGGTATCTGTTCACTTGCATCATGTGCTGAACCAGGTCCTGCCAAGGCCATCACAAGCTTTCAGGTCAGAACACAGGACGTGGAGATGAACGAGGAAAGTGTTGGGATTTCTCTAGACTCGCGGTGCATGAACAACACGGATAAACAGATGCGGAGTGAAGGCAAGTGGGATGATGCTGCAGCAGCAGCAGGCAAACAGTGAAGAGCTAAAGCAGTGAAGAGCTCAACAATTCGTCACCTTTGCCTCTGTAGAGATCTTCTTCCAGTAGGCGTCAGGGAAACCATAGTTTCCCTTCACTATCCTCCTGACAAGGACCTGCAGAGGAACTCCTTGACCAAAAGGGGGACAACCGCACAGCAGAATGTACAAGATGACCCCAGCGCTCCACACATCACACTCAAGGCCGTAGCCCCCAGCAGTGTGATCAGCAGAAATGACTTCTGGCGCAAGGTAGGACGGAGTTCCGCACACTGTCTTCATGATCGCGCCATTTTCAAGGTCGACGATTGCGCCCAATCCGAAGTCAGCGATCTTGACCGGAGAGTCAGGGCTCTTGGAGGCATACAGGATATTCTCTGGCAGAGGGTTCAGCTCCTTTGCGGTTTCGCTGCACAAGAGTGATCGGCCCTCACCTGGTTTCAAGTCTCGGTGCGCAATACCGATGCTGTGAAGGTACTCGACCGCCCCGATGATCTGGTAGAAGCAATGAGCTGCTTCTGCTTCACTGTAGTGATCTTTCTCCACGATCCTGTCGAAGAGCTCCCCGCCGCTGACGTATTCCATCACTATGTAGATCTTGTTGTTGGATTCAAACATTTCATGGAATTCAATGCATTGGGGTGCTTGACTTTCCTCATGATGTCGATTTCTTTCCCGATATTCTCGTAGTCTTTCTTGCAGCACATCTTATTCAGAACCTTGACTGCAACGATATCACCCGTTTTCTTCTTCTTGGCTCGCTTCACCTTTGCGAATTTTCCTTCCCCGATTGTTTCATAGATATCATAATCTTGCTTTATCTTTTCCCGCAAGAACCACAAGGACCAGAACCCCATGGTCTTAGAGCTATGTGCCTGTTAAACTTCCTCAAAGTCTGATCTTGTACTTCTCTATTTCCCTTTAAAAGACAAGTCTGCCGAATTCTGCCTGCCAAATTCAGCAAAGTCAGCAAAGAGCACAGCGCCCAATTTAGCAACAGAGGGGAAGCAAAGACGAGACGAAGAGGATGGTAACAATGTATGGCATGGTTATCATCATTTCTTTTCAAGATTGTAGTAACAGCAGATTCAATAACCATTCTTCTTATCTCCAAGCTAAAAGTACCACCAGTGGATCTGATCAGAACTGCTTAGCATCTACAATCTCATTCAAGTAATGTTTGTAGATCTCTCAAACATTTCTGTGATATTTGTACAAGATAAGAAACTTTCCATAGCATCACACACCTTCTCTTCCTCGCAAACATGCGCGTGCCTCATGATCTCTCTCCTCGCTCCAATCGTCTTCCCTTCTCTACCCGGCCGCCCCCTTGCATTTTTCTCACCAGAAGTAAAAAGATGACTTTTAAAAGGAGGCTAGGGGGAGTGGTAGGGTACTCGAACAAAATCGAATGACCACCGAAGAAGACTCAGACTACCCGGTACTTTCCTAGTAAAATGATGGGGTCGAGTGTCCAGGTGTACGCTGCTCTGTGAACCAGGGTGGTCATGGCCCCCTATTTACGATAACTATCTGCGACAGGGAGATGAGTAAACATTTGTACCTGGCTTCCCCTGAACAAATATAAAAGATATTTTAAACTGTACCAGAGAGCAAATGACGGGTGCATACTGGTACAGTATTTAAGAAGACATTATTGGTTCCAGTCCGGATCGGAGTTTCAAGATTACACTAGGCCGGGCCGTGTGAGTCAACCGTGACTCGGTGCCGGCTTGGCGGCGGCGGCGGCCGGGCCCGGGCCCGGGCCGGCCTGCCCGCGGCTAGAGGCGGCGGCCTGAGCGGCCAGTGCCGCGCCGGCGTCACTGCGTCACACGGGACTCCCCGTCGGGCCCGGGGCCCGCCGAGGCGGCAGCCTGCCCGGCCAGTGCGGCGGGCGGCGCGGCCTACTACCGTACCGTGACATGATGGTCAGCGGCGGCCGCCGCACCCCCGGCGGCGGGGACGCTGAGCCTCGGAGCTCGGAGGCTTGAACGAAGGCACGGCGCAGTTCGCCCAGTCACTGGCTCAGCCGGACTCGGTGCAACTTGGCGCGGCAAGTCACGCCACAGTGACGGCGTCCGAGTCCGCTCCGAGCGGCTCACGGTATTCACTGAAGTAACTTCAATCATTCTACTAGTCATCATCAGTGCCAGTGGTATGCGGCCGGGCCCGGCGGGCGGCTCCCGGGCCGAGCCTTGCGGAGTCCGGCAAGCCGCCCCGGCGGCGCTGACTGAGCTGACGGCGGCGTCCTAGTGAGCCGCGGCTCACTGACGCAGTCCGGAGTGCCGTGGCAGGCGGGCCGCCGGGCCGCCGGGCGGGCCCCGCCGCCGCGCGCGGCGGCCGTCGGAGAGCACGGTACGGTCCGTCCGGATCCGATTGAATACATCCTCGTACTGATCAGTTTTAACTTAAAAAAAAAAAGGGCCCAATTTTCAGCCTCAGTGCCTTGGCCTAACTTTACTCAACTTGGCCAGGAGAGTCACGGAGTCACGAGTCGAGGCCTGCACACAGTGGCGGGGGCCTAACTTAAGTCAACCGTGAGCGGCGGCGTACGCCGCCGGCGTACGGTCACGGCAGTGCCATGATGCGCCGCAGTCGCGGCCGTTCAACGGTTCACGGTTGACTTAAGTTAGTACCGGCGGCCGCCCGGGGCGGCCGCCGGTTCGGTGAGCGGCGGCCCGGCTTTCCGGACCGGCGTCACGCGGACGGTCGGGCAGCTTTCTATCCGACTGGATAGAGTGCGGCATGCGCTCCGTAGCCGCGCAAGGTTCATGCCGCATCAGCTGCAGCTTTTAAAGGGAGCGATTCATGTTTGGTGTACCTCGAAATCAAGTCTTTTTGTATATCACTGAGCCAGCGATCACGACCTATCCACGGCATTCCAGCGGTCCAGCTCTAACACCATACCCCCACCCTCCATTTGCCGGAACTGCCAACGACTACCCTTACACCACTCTAAATAGTACCCACCCCTTTCTCAGCAATTTCTCTCTAATCAGGAAGTACCGGTCCAGTTCATTTACCTGCGCAGGCCTCCTGCAGGGGGGTTTCACCTGAGATCCCCAACCTCTACATCAACCACCCCACCCTCAACTTCCCTGGACCACCCCCTCTTTTCCCAGGTTTTGCTTCCCTCAACGTAAAAGGGGGGAAACAAGGTCCAGAGGTCACCCTACCACCTACCATGACCACCCCACCCCCATCGTGCGGACGCAAGCGTCCTAGCATCCCCACCCTTCAATTTCCAAAAGGGATATAGAAAAATCCACCCCCTGTGATCGATTTTGTACCTGCCCCTTTTGACTACCCCCTATATTCCAGCAAAATGACCACCCGACCCCTTCCTTCCCTTGTATGTGCTTCAAACCTCATCCAAATCTCCTCAATCCCACCTAGAAGGATAATTCTTCCCGCTCTACTCGTGTCCCCTGCCCTCCTTCGTTGCCCCTCCTTCTTTCATGTTCGTTCCATTCTCAACCTCTCAGGAGACCAGAGAAGCTAGAGAGAGGACAAGGACGTGGGAGACCATGGAAAGAAGTAGTCATACACTCAGTTGAATCGATCAGAGCAAAGTTCTACAGTTGCGAGAAGTTTGAGTTGATATAATATTAGCTAATCTGACGTAGACAAGAGACCGAGTCGAATTGGTCAGTGCTGATGGGACTAAACGAATGAGCAAAAACGGCTGTTGTGGTTTTGTTGGCCACAACAACACATGTCGAACCTAGCAAAGACTTCATTCTCAATGTGAACAAAAGTTGAAAAGTTTGAGGAGAAGCAATCATCCGCAGGATAGAGTACTCGACTGGATTAGATAATCAGAAGACCAGATCGAATGTCCATGTGGCTTCTTGCTCACCAGCTTCTTTTCAGATGCAGAACAACAACAACAACAATTCAAATAGGCTGTCAAACTATTGGTACATCGAAGCAGGATGGAGGAACGGCATGGCGAACGCAAGGGACTTAGGGATGGAGTTCTACAGCCATGCGACGTCATCAAGCTTCATTGACGATCCTTTCTTGCCACCTGGCGCAAACATACGGATGCCGACACATCAAACAACTGCCCTCGACGCCTCCCGCTTGTTCCAGACAACTGACAGATTTGCGATGATCAGCAACGACAAGAGCATGCAGAGTCAGATGAAGTTGCAAGCGAGCAACTTTTCTGGTGACATCTCGCTAGCTGGAGAAGGGCCTTCTGTCCTCAAGAGGTTCAAGCCTGATACTACTCCCCGTGCTCGCGGGGTCGACCAGGATCGGGTCTTGACGGACAGCAGTCGTTCGTCTCTGTCTGCCAGCTCTAGTTGTGTCTCGCCCATCTCTTGTCCCAGCCTCTCCTCCATCATCACGAGCAATCGTTCCTCGTCCCCCCTCTGGTCCATGCCCTCAGGAACGGGGGAGCAGAAGCTGGAATCCGTCCATTCCTTCTCGGACGTGAACAATGACTTGGGTGTCGGCGTGAGCCACATACGGCAGCGGGAGGGAGCAGGTGTCTCGGACCCGTTCCAACCAGCCTCAAGCAAGGCAGGAGGGGAGGAGGTAGGCAAGGAGGGGAGCGATGCTCCGGCGGTTGACCCGGAGGTCGATGACTCGGATTTGACGATGGGGCCGGGAGATCCCTGGACCTTCAGTGCTTCTTCTTTCACATCTCGCACATCAGAAAACAAGAGGAGATATGAACCCTTCTAGGAGCCTCGTGTACATCATTTCAGGAATATTCATTATCTTGTATATACAGGTATAACATAGTTTCATCTCAATGTTGTAAGAAAATTCTTTGTAGTCTTGCTGAGTTTAGAAATGAATAAATGAGTCTTTCCGTCATGGGGATTTTGTCTTCTATCGCGTTTTGTTCACATCTACCCGGCATACAGACCTGACAGCTGTCTCGGCAATATCCATCATCTTATCATCGTCTGGAGGTACGACGATGTGCAGCGCTTTGATGTTGGACGACGCTAGCAAGACAGTCAGGCTGAGGGAGGAAGCACGAAAAGGAAAGGAAGAAGACGAAGAAGCCGGCAGGACCTCGTATCTCCTCCCACAGGCAGCGCATAACAGCAGTCGATCGGATCATGAGCTTCTCATTTCTGCTCAAGTTTCCTGTCGCAACCCGTCATTGGTTCCTCCTCTTCATCCTCCTCTCCTACTCCCTTCCTTTCCCTCCCATTTCCCTTCCGTAAACCCTAAACTTCTGTCCCTCGTAGCCTCTTCCTCCTCCCCTACAAGTGACTCGCCCTTACCTTCCATCTCAGCACTTCCGCTCAAGCCCTCAGCAAATGCCGGAGATGCTTCGGCGCTGGTCTCGGTGAGGAGGAGAGGGACGGCAAGTCCTGTAACCGAGTGCCTAGCTGCTGCCTGCACAACCGACCGCAACCCAGCAGACACTCGGCTGTCCGGGTTCACGGGGTGAGGAACGCTCTCGACCACGAGGTGGAAGGCGACGTGGGCAGCGACCAAGTTCGTGTGCCATGTTGAGCACCATTGACCGACGTCGAGGAAGGTTGTTTCTTTGCGTCTGCTCCGGATGCTTTCCAGCTGGAGGAAGGTGAGACGAAGCAGGCAATCGGAGGTTGATAAGAAAGACGTGGTGAGTAGAGGTGTAGGAGATCAGGAGTGAGATAGACGAACAGGTCCAGGAGCAGCAGGAGCAGCAGGAGCAGCGAAGGATGGGAAGGAGGCAAAGGAAATCAGGTACGGACTGGGCATGATTCGAACGAGGAAGGATACTTGTGCGGGGAGGTCAGGGGCGAGGAGCTCAGCAGATGAGCAGCATCCTTCAACGAAGCTCGCCGCCGTGAAAGGCCTTGGTGACGCCTCCGTCAGAGGAGAGGAGATTCGGGGGAGGTGTACCTTGTGGCGGAGGAAGAAGGGTGAGCGATGGGAATGACGAGCCCTAAGAGGTTGTCCCCAGCAATGCCCCGCATGACAGCCTCTGTCCTCCGCTTGCCCCCTGAGGGAGGGCCGGTGCAGTACTCCAAGATCCTGCCCTGCCGTACCTGTATCCTCACCTTCTTCCTCAGCTGGTTCGTTCCCACCCACGAGACCAGGTCAATGGCGCCGCGAGGGCGACTAGCCTTGGTCGACGCCAGCCTGCCGTACATGGACCACAGCCCCTTGGATGTCTCCTCCTCCTCTCTTCCCGCCCCCTTCTCGCCTCCTCCGAACACTTCGTTCCATGCATCCATCGGGTCCTCGTGCGCAGTCAAAATCTCCCCCTCGTTGGGACTCGCAGGGTTCGTCGCCTCCTTCTTCATCCCCCCCTTGGTCTCCTCTACACTCTCCCGTTGGATCACATTCATGTAGGAGGAAAAGTCGTTCCTCTGCACTTCCTGCATCTTCGACAGAGACTTGCGGTATTCCTTTCCTGCCAACTTCTTCTTCTCTCTGTACCTGCATCAAGGAAGACGCGCCAGAGCTCATCAGAGTCCAGCACGGGTATCATCGATCATCACCTTGTCTTCAACGCCTCCAGCTGCTTGTTCACCTCGTCTTCATGCATGAAAGCGCCTCGCAAAACAATACTTTGATGCTCTCTCTCATATTCTTTCTCACACCCCTCCATTATCTCCATCCTTCTGCTGGCAAGAGCCATCCCGTCCTCCCAGAACACCCGCATCAGGTCCAAGACAGGTTTGCTCGTGGACGCCTCTCGCATCAGCATGCTGAACCTCTCGATCGGGCTCACCTGAATCTCTTCCTTTGCGATCGAGATCCGGCACTGGTAGCTGGAGTTGACGAACGACATCCCATAGACGCTCGTCATCTTGTCGACCAATGCAGGCACGTCCTCGGGTGATAGTAGAAGGCCATCCTTTTGTTCTTCTTCCCCCTGTCCTGCTGCTGCTGCTGCTGCTGCTGCTTGATTGATTTCTGCGCGTTCTGCTCCAAGCTCATGTCCCGCCTTCGATTCCCTTCCGGAGCGATTCAGAAGCTTGCTTGCGATGACTAAGAAGGAATGCCTCCTCCACTCGGGCAGCTGTTCAGATTCGAATATTTCCAGCATCACTCTTTCTTTCTCTTCCTTGCTCAGACAAGACGGAATGCTCACATCGATCTGATACTCGCCTTCCCCCCCATCGTCCACTATCAAGGTGAAGTTCTCGCATACATCCTGCGAGTCCTCCATGTCTGGAGACAGCTCCTCGACTGAAGGATCAACACAAGCGCATCAGTAGATTGTCATGGCACATCTCCTTGTGCTTTTTAAAGTTCAGATTTAAAAATACCCCGGCAGTGCTGGCCCGGCGCCGGACTCCCGAGTCCGGAGCTCGGCGGCGGCCGCGCCGCCGGCCCGGCCGCGCACGGCCAGTCACTGTGCGCTGCCGCAGGCTGCGGCGTCGGACGCCGCGGCGGCAGGCTGTCAGAGTACCGTGTCCCTCCCGGGCGCGGGGCTCGGCCCGGGCCCGGCCAGCCCTGCGTGACGGTGACGTGACCCCGGGCCCCGCGGCACTGCCGGGCCGCCCGGCGCCGAACGGTTCAAACCGGCCGGGCCGGGCGGGTGTGTCACCGCCCGACCGTACGGTGACAAGAATGCCGCAGTGCAGTGCCGACGCGAGTACGGTCACCGTACGGAGCCTGAGGCTCCGAGCAGACTCTTAACTTGCCTGAGTTGCCGCGGCCAGTTGGGACCAAGGCCCCGGACCCGTACTACGGTACCGTCGGACCGTACGGTACTCTCTGCGGCCCCCCCGAGGAGGTGCAGTGACTCAGTCACGGCGGAGACTCTGGCAGCCTGTGAGTACTGACAGTGCAGTGCCACGGTCGGAAAGGTTCCGAACGGTTCCGCCGTCCCCGCCGCCAACTTTCACTAATCTTCCGCTAGTCCACTGCGGCGCCGGGGAGTCAAAGCGTCCAGATTCACCATCTGATTTTAAGATCACAATGGTGAATCACCATCTGATGAAAGTTTAAGATCACAATCGGACCACCAAGAAGGACATGCCTCTCATCAGCCGATATTCAGCAAGCGAGGCCCACGGTCTCTAGTTCACGGTTGGCACGTTGATTTTTCTAGCCATTACAATCAAACTTAGTGCGATATTTTTCTTCTCTGTTGTGTACTTGTCGCAATATTTGATATCTGCTATTGACCAAGTTATCATCTGTGCAAAACACATGCTCAGATATTGAGCTGGCACAAGGGATTTTTCCATCTCGTTTGCTGCAAACAACTTTCGACCAGACCTCAGTGCCAAGTTTTGTTTGTGGGCTCCAGCTTGGGGAACTGCCCAGCAACTTATCGCAGCTATCATGGACCTGTCTTATCACCTGGAAGAGTGGCAGACAGCGATGCGTGGCGACTAGCAGCATGGCCCGGAAGCAGAGCTCTACGCTCTCTCCATGGCCGTCTACGATGTTTTGGGATCTTCGCAATCTGGTTCAAGAGCTGCGCATTGCTCTTTCAGCTGCATTCTATTATCTACGTGGATAATGCGGCGGTAATTCAATTTTCTGAGTCAACAAGGGCAGATAACGTCACTTCGATATACGGCTCAGTTCTATTATGTGCGTGAAAAAGACGGTTCAGGAAGGCATCATCGAGATATTTCATATCATAGCAGTACCCAAGGTATCCTCCCGGTTCACCGCAGACCTCATGATGAAGGTTCATCCTCGAGCAACCTTCGGACGCAGGTTTGAAATCAGGGACCCGAAGAGATGTCGATTGAGAACTTTACGGAGCTTCAGCGTCGTCGCACCCGGGCCTGAGACAGTGACCATCAACATCACTGGCCGGGCCGATCAGCCAGCCGACTCGACTTGCGCAGCGGCTTCAACATTGAATGACGAAGCAGATGCTTTTGAGGAAGACTCTGAAGGGCTCACAGGTCCCAAGATAAACAAGATCGAAGTGGAGACATCAAGATCGATGAAGCCCGCTGATGAATGGACAGCTTGTGGAACCATCGTCAAGAAGAATATGCAGATCAAGATGTCAAGACCAAACTTGACTCCGAGAAGGGTGGCAAAGTGCAACTGTCTGAACTGACGAAATCCTTTTTGGGGGAGAACAAGGTATGATGCGCTGACAAGAACGCGAGATAACCAGTGCACTGAGGGAAGAGTCACACCTGTATGTTTGTAGCAAGCTCTTGTTAACATGAAGTTTGCCCTCGGATCTTCATTCTTAAGCTCCCTGCATGCCTACCTCAGGAAGTACTTGTTGATTTCTACACTGGGACTCCGTGACTGGCTGAAGTGCCCTCCGAGGCTCGGAACTACCGGTACCCCCCGGCGAGTGAAAACAAGTCGGAGACAACCCCCCGGACACGTTACAAGTCACCGTACTAGTATTCTCTATTGACTGAAAAAGAAAGACACCGTACTACCTTGATTCCGGCTCTTCCGAACGTCACACCGGTCATTCCATTTATAAGTCACCTCACTGCACTAACCGGTACACTATCAAGTTCGGGACTACCGGGAGGGTGTGTGAGTACCCCCTGGTTGCCCCTGCCGTGAAAGGGTCACTGACTAAGGTGACAGTGAAGATCACGGGGTTTACTTGGGCGAAAAAAACAAAATGATTGCCCTGGGTATGACCCACCCGAAACAATGTGGGGAGATGGGGGGGTGACATTCGGCTGATTGATCTTGAGATTTTATTTTATGTTCAGGAACATGACGGAAGTATATTGCATAATTTAAAAACTTTCAGATTAATTTTAAAATTTTATCGATGATTTGGGTGTGGACTGTGACCAAAGACATGCTATGGCATTTGGTTGAGTCGAACAGTGGCTAGGCAAGGGCTTGTGAACGAGAGAGGAAGGGCAGGGAAAGGCAAGGCAAAGAGGAAGAAGACAAATCAGATGAGGCGATGAAGTCCTTCCTGATCAGAGCAGAGATCAATGTCGGGTAGAGAGAGGGTAGGAGGAAGATCGGTCATGCAAAGAGGTCTGGCAAGAACTGCACCTATAAGTCAAAACTCGTCGCAAAGGATGGAGATTGGCTACAGAGAGGGTCAACGGATAAGATTTGAGAATTCCAGACGAAAAAGATGCTGATGTGATTGTTTTCATGTTGATATGGGCAAGTGCATGCTGGTACAGCCTTCACAAGACTAATCTTGGTTTTCTCTCATTCCAGCAATACAGTTGTCTTACAATGCATTCTTGTTTTGTTATGTTTGAAGAAGCAAGTGTTTTGTTATGAGAATTTGGACCCTGAGCCTGAGAGTGCAACACTCATTGACTTTCACACAGTTGGAGCAACCTTCGGGCAATATAGGCTCTCTAACTGCGTTTCCGAGACTAAGCGGCAGAGGGGCTTGTTCTTTGACGACAGGCGAAAAGCTGACTCATGCAGAGATCTTTCAACTTGGGTGTCAGAACTTTCCATCAGATCTTGTTCACGTGCATCGGGTTGACGCTTCTTGCTCATGCTTGGGGAAAGGAGCAGTTGAACATAGAGGGAACCTGGCTTGCAAACATCTGCAATGAGACAAATTTTGCTTTGCCGTTCGTCCTGGGTGAATTTTCTGCTTGCCTGCAAGAGTCCACGTTCTCAAACATTTCTTGTGTGCAGGCAAAACGTATGAACACCTGCTGGGCCCTGCCGTCCTCGAAGATTCGAATTTGCTGCTCCGAATGGAGCTTGAGCTCAAGACCTTGTGGGGATCTCCTGTCAAGGTGACTACTCTCATGACCAGAACAATCACATCCAATCATGATGACGTACTCAACAGGATTCAGTGTACGCGCCGAACAATGATGAGAAGAACAACAGTCTTGATGTCGAGGCTTGCAGATTAATGGCCCTTGAGATCAACTCGAGGGTTGACATACGGAAGAAGGTCCGGTGGCAGCAGGTCGCAGCCTGTGAGCTCTGCCGTCCTGATGTCGCGGAATGGATCCGGAAGGAGGCAGGAGAAGCTGTAATTCTCCGGCATCTGGCGAGCTACGCGGCCCTGTACACCTCCTACTCCATCGATCTCATATGCCATGCGCTCGACGAGGTTGGGCTCCGCAGGTACCTGACGACAAGAGAGTCCAATGAGTCTCTGCCGATATCAGGCGCATCTGCCGAGCTGCTGGTGGGTGTGGAGCCGTCGAGGTGCTCGGCAAACTCCTGGCAGCTCTGCTCAGAATCGGCTGGTCATGGAGGAAAGATACAAGGAGAGGGGAGGAGTGAAAGTTACCAGAAGGAGGTCTACCGGGCCAAGAAGATCTTGCTGAGCGATCTCAACACATACCACCGCAAGGTCGCACGTCAGTACGCGACGATTCTTGGGGGGGAGGTGTTGACGGACCACCTGCACGTCCTGGAGGAATTGTTTGAGAAGGGAGACTCGCCCAGGAATGTTTTCAAGTTCCTCTTGGAGAACTTTGCGAACGTGGTCAAAGACAACACGGCGCAGGCGAGAGAGCGGGCCATGCAGTACGTGCACGAGTCGTTCCAGCAGGTGCTGCTGCGGGATGCTGATCCTGACGCCCTCGAAGTCTACTCCGAGCTTCTGGTGCAGGGGACGCACGAGCGAGAGCTTCAATGCATCCTCAAGCGCTCCGAGGAATTTCGGTCGCTCTGCATTGACGGCAACGCGGTGAAGTGCGACGAGGCGATTCGGCTTGTCTCTCTTCAGTATCACGAGGTTCTCAACCGACCGCCTGACCCCCGTGGCCTCTCGCGATATGCTCGCGAGGTAGTAATGGGATACTTGACTGCCGACGGCATCCGCGACGACCTGGAGAGCAGCTCTGAGTTCCAAGCAGGACCTGGCATGCTCCGCAGGGTCTCCATGATTGCCAGAAATATCTCCGAGCAACATGAGCGCTGCTTGAAGATCTGTTGCCCCTCCCCTTCACCCTCCTCCTCCTCCTCCTCCTCCTCCTCTTCATCCTCTTCATCCTCCTCCTCCTCCTCCTCTTCATCCTCCACCCCAAGCAAGATCTGTGCCAAGAACTGCAAACACCTAAAGAAGCTGAGCAGAGGCAGGTGCTCGCGAGAGCCCAAGGACCTGATCACGTGGGTCGAGTCCGTCCTATGGGGGAAGCGACGGCTGCACAACTTCTTCAAGGCAGACTTGAGCAACCTGACGAGGTATCAGGTCTCGTCCAGGCTCGTCGTTCGCAAGTTTCTCGATGTGTTGGGGCGATACCCTGACATGCCCGCCATGCTCAACTTTATCCCCAAAGTCGCCAGGGGTGAGATGAACGTGACGGACCTGACGAGCACCTTGGAGGCGAGCGACGAGAGGTCTCAGAAGTGGATCCAGCCGAGGCAACCGAAGCAGCTCGGCGAGCTGATCAAAAGAGCTGAGATGATCGCTGGGCTCCTAGTGGAGAACGGGATCGAGCTCACGGACGTAGCGCACTGTTTCACGATCGAGGAGGACGGGGCTGAGAGAAAGGTGACCATGAATGTTGTCCCGTCCAAGTCCTCCTGCAGGAAGGTCGGCAAGGTGCTTTGGAGCCTCCAGACTCTGTGGAACGCCAAGGGTCCGGTGCTGGGGAAGAAGGATGCTCCTGAGATTGACAAGCTCAGCCCCATCGCTGTCTTGCTGCAAGAAGATGACAAGGACCTATGGAAGATGATTGAAAGCCTCGGCAGCATTGCCGGCATCCAGCACTCAGTCGTCATCGTTTTCTCGCTGGGGTATGTCAGCACTGACTCTCTCGACAAAATGAAGGGTATTGACTTCGCCCGAATCCGAATTCTATTCCACCCGACCCGACAAGATCTGATCCTGCAAGACCCCGACGTGGCTCAGAAGGTGACAGGCCTGCTGGACTCCTGCTGCTGCCGTTTGCTGACTCGCCCGTTTCCAGCTGCACTGGAGCTGGCTGCAGGAGATGCTCTTCGAGAACATCTCAGAGACAAGGAGCTGGACGGGGGACGTGGTTACCGTCTTCGGGGTGAAGGCGCTGACCTCCGACTTCCTCCGCATCCTCGAGGCAGCGAGAGTCTTCCAAAAGACCTTCTGCCCCACCTGCTGGAGCATCGCCATGGACGCGGGATGTGACGAGCGGCTGTCGACCGAGGATGAGGACAACATGATCTGCGTCAACCATGGCAAGCTCGGCTCAACCATCGCCTTCAACTCCAGCATGTGAGCTTTTTGTGCTGAAGGCTGTCTCTTGCTCTTCCTGCCTTGCTCCTCGCTCGCTCTCCTGGCCACTTGCTCGCCGACCCTCACGCGTCTCAGGTACGAGAAGATCAGCAGGGAGAAGCTAGAGCTCATTCCGACCTCGTGGAACTTTTCCCTCTACTACCTGATGCAGGTCGACACGCGGCCCGCAATCAGATGTCACTGACATGAACTTGTCAAGTTGGACAAGTTGAGCTCCAAATCCATCGGACCTGCAGTACCAAGAGTGCATGACATCTCCTGCTTGAAAGGTTTAGAGCTGAACCCTTCATCCTCCTCTGTCTCCTCTCTGTCTCCTCTCTGTCTCCTTCTCTTCCCCTTCCCCCATGCTTCTCTTCCTCGTTCTCCCCGCCTCTTTCTCTCACCCTTCCTCACCCTTTCGCCCCCTCGTTAATCCTTGATCACCTTCATTCTTCTTCAATCCATTTTCCTGTCTCGTGTCATCTGTCCTGCTGTCCTCCTCTCCTCTCCCTTTTCTCTCTCCTCTTCCTCCTCTCCCTCTTCCTCTTCCTCGCTCACTTGACATCTCAGACATTACCGACTATCTTGAGCTGCACCTGCAGTACTTCAAGCTTGGTTTCCATACCAGTCGTTTCGACGCCAATGCATTATGGAGAGGAGGAGAATAGGGAGAGGAGGAGAATAGGGAGAGGAGGAGAATAGGGAGAGGAGGAGAATAGGGAGAGGAGGAGAATAGGGAGAGGAGGAGAATAGGGAGAGGAGGAGGCCTTCTGGCGTATCTGAAGTTGATGTATCGGCAGAAGGAAGCGGCAGGAGCGGAGCAGCGCGAGAGCTCAATCTTTCTCCCTGGCGTGGGTTTCGTCTCGCTAGCGTGAGCAGACATGAACGATATTCTTTAGCTCTGGGGCACAGCCCGAGGGCCTCCTCCTCGAACCCTTGTGATGATGCGTGTAGAAACAGATAAACCCTGTATCAAGTACGATAGTGAAGGTCACCAGTGACTTCAAACGTCGACTCGTTGATCGCCTCGTGGCTTGCTCTGCGCTCGTTACTCTCTCAGTCTCTTGCCTCATCAGCAGCGTCCGACCGTCTTCTTCGCTCGTCGCCATGCCAGCCCTCCTGGCTGGTTCACTTCGGGCCGGAGTTCGGCCCGGCCGAACGGCCGTACAGTACGGTCCGTCGCGTAACTTTGAAGAATAAACTTTGCAACGTTGAAAGTGTCAACGTTTAGATCAAAGTTTCCAACTTGCAAAGATAGCTGGAATCGGGGTGAAAATGCTGGTGAAAATGGCGAGTAGGATCAAGAAGTAGAGGAGGATGAAGGAGGAGGAGGAGGAGGAGGAGGAGGAGGCAGCTGAATCTCTCAGCGCGCATGCTGCTTGTCTCAAGCTTCAGATTCTTTCACGTCAGTTTCTCTGTCGCCAGCATGTCAGGCAGCTCAGAATGTCGATGGATCGAGCGTGGCGGAGCCGCCACGAGCCCTGCGACGTGCAAGTGAGTGCTGCAGGAGACACGTGGGCAGACATCCGATGGAGCATGCCAGCAGGAGTTGGCTTCATGAGCAGGAAGCGAGAGCATGGCATGGAGGGGGATGGCGCAGCGGGTGGGAACAGGAGGAGAAGTTCGAGGTACGTTCGCGTCAGCGTGCATGGGACGTTCGAGGTGAGCGTGGACGGAGAGGTTCGTGACCGGGTACCATGGGAGGAGGCGGCGACAGGGCTGGGGGAGGGCGACGCCAACGACTGCATCCAGTACTGCAAGCACCGGCTGACAAATCTCCCCAAGCTCAAGGCCATGGAGGTGAAGATCAGGTTTGTTCCTGCTCCCTCCCCGATGAGCCCTGCCCTCTCCATGCTGGATGATGCCGGGCAATGGACATCGCCGCTTCTCTCCTCCTCTCCTCCTCCCTCCTCGCCTTCCGAGTACCCCCGGGCCCTGTGCGGTCCCCTCCCCCTGATCACAGGCTGGAGCAAGAGCCTGACGGTTTGGACCAAGGGGATGCATGCAGAACGTATACACAAGCTGAAGGTGGGGAGAGGAGGACAGAAGAAGGAAGGAGACAGTGCTGATCCGAACTCTGCCAGGACCTGCTGAGGCAGGAGGAGGAGGAGGAGGAGGAGGTGATGTGACGCCTGTCCTGCTCCGTGTTTCTCATGCTTGCTGCTCAAGGATGCTACTTCTTTGTCCTCTCCCTCCGAGGACGATTCCATTCGCAGAACCTTGTCCTCCTCCAGCAACCATGCTGCCGTCCGCATGATGGGAGGCAGCTTGCTCCTCCACGTGGCTGCGACCTGACCTGTGCGCAGGATCGACGGTTTCCGCTCCTGAGCGAGGAAGGATGAAGGAGACGAAGGGGGAGAAGTTCTTCGAGCTGGACTGGAAGGCTGCGAGGGTGAAGCAGGCGAAGTTTGTGTTCGACATGGTGTACGAGAGGAAGCGAGCGGGAGGGAGGGAGGAAGTCAACGCGAGCGTTCACCAAGACCGCCTACTACAGGAGGAGGACATCATGGAAGCGATGACCTGCCTTGGGGTCGACCTGCCTCGCTCCCAGGTGTCGAGGATGATGAGCGAGTTTGATGGCGGAGAGGAGGAGGGAGTTGACGCAGAAGCGTTCTGCTGGATGATGGACCTCTGCCCCTTCCCCGGGAGGAGGAGGAGGACGATTCAGCGCAGGCACTCCATCCGGAGGACGTTCTCGCGCGCTGAGAGCGTTTCCTCCTCCCTGTCCTCGAACATGTTCGAGCGAACACCGTCAAACATGTTCGAGCGAACACCGTCGAACATGTTCGAACGAACACCGTCAAACATGTTCGAGCGAACACCGTCGAACACTTCAGAGCAACAGGTGACGGCTCCTGTGTCGGATGGGGAGGAGGCTGAAGATGTTGGAGCAGGGAATGTTCTTTTCCCGCGTATCGAGTATTGTCGAAAGAGGAGGAAGAGCAGGAAGAGGGAGGGAGGAGGAGGAGGAGGAGGAGGAGGAGGAGGAGGAGGAGGAGGTGCGGTCCATTCGCTCAGTGTTAATGGAGCAGCATCTGAGTCAAACTCTTATCCTCGGGAATCTCCCAGCAGGTTGAACTCAAGAGAGGAGGAGGAGGAGGAGGAGGAGGAGGAGAGGAACTGACTTGTTCCGACGTGTTAGTCGGAAGCTGATGCTTGACACGGACCATCGCGAACGAAACCAACTGGAAACGGAGGATCGTTGCACGGCCGGCTTACGAGTACTCAATACTCTTCCCTCATCACCTACTATTTGGCCTTCGGGTCCTCTGGCGAATGAAGTTCTCGTAAATGAACTCTGAAGCGAACCTGTCTTGGAAGAAGAGTCGGGAATAAACTAAAGAATAGGGCACCACTCGGATAATGCAAAAAAACATATCTCCGGGAGGAGTTGTGATTTGAGATTGCCCCCTGAAGTTGAAATGATTTATTTATATGAAACGATGCGAAATATATCATTCAAAGTGAGATTGACTGCCTATTACAATAGTTTTATACACCCATTCCTCCGTGCCCTTCCCCTCTCCTTCTCTC